TCAGGGCACATTTAAATGTCCCTTAGCCCAGAACGATGGCAGGCAGATAGGTCAAAGATTACATTACTGTTTTCTAAATTTTGTATGTTTGCCCTATTTCCCAGCTTAAAAAAATTGTAATATATTGCAATTCTTTTCTTACTCTAAAAAATATGTTTTGGGGAGCCTGGGTGGCTCAGTCGTTAAGCGTCTGCCTTCGGCTCAGGTCATGATCCCGGGGTCCTGGGATCGAGCCCTGCATCGGGCTCCCTGCTCAGCGGGAGGCCTGCTTCTCCCTCTCCCACTCCCCCTGCTTGTGTTCCCTCTCTCACTGTGTCTCTCTGTCAAATAAATAAAACCTTTAAAAAAAAATAAAATAAAAAATATGTTTTGTACCCAACTTTGTATTTTTTTAAAAGAGGATCTCCAAACTGTGTATGCTTTACCCCACCAATCCTGGGTCCTTCCTTTGGAGGAGAGGGATATGTAATTTTTGGAAAATAAGTTGTTTATCTTTTCTAACAAATTCATTTTTCAGTTACACCTGAGCTGTGACTAATTTCTCAAAGTGACAAACCATGTCATCATGGGAGGCTTCAGTAAGCAGAGGGGCTGCCCTCCCCCAGCAGAGCCCTGGTCCCTGGGGTCACCACGGAGGCAGAACTCTGACCCCTACCCACAGGACCATGGCTGGGGGGGGGGCGGGCAGGTACCGGGAAGGTCCCTGTCCTCACGTGTGGCCGGCCAGACCCCAGACCCGAACAGGTGTCTTAGTCAGAATACCAGCTTAAGTGCTGACATCTCTTTCTCAAGGCTCTGGAGACCAGAAGTCCGAGATCAAGGTGCGGTCAATTCTGGGTCTGGTGAGAGCCCGCTTCCTGGCTGGCAAGTCGGTGCCACCATCTGGCTGCGTGCTCACAGGGCCAGGCCCTGGTTCATGCACACACGGACACCTCCAGCCTCCTCTCCCCCAAAGGGCACTAACCCAAACCTCTCATGGCCCACCCTCACGACCTCCTCTAACCCCACCCACCTTCAGAGGCCCACCTCCAAACACTGCTACACCAGCTAGGGCTTACCACATGAATTTGGGGAGGACATAAGCATCCAGCCCATAACAGTAGGTGATGAATAATCATCCCTAGAAACACCGCAGATGATGCCCCACAAGAGGGTCTATAGACCCACACCATCCATCTCTGCGGTAAAGACCTTCACACTCATACCCTTTATTCTTCAAGCACAGTGTAAAGACCCAGATGCCTGCCTTTTCAAAGTCACTGCTGTGTGGTCCCGGCAGGCTGTGTGGACAGGAGATAGACAGGGGAGAGCCGACATTTCCTGTGGACATGGCCTGGCGCCACACCTTGCATGGGGAGTGGGGGTGAGCAGTGAGCTGCTGGTAGTGGGTTCCTGTACTTGCTTCAGCCCAGACCCCTCAGGACCCTGGATCTGGATTCTCATCTCCTACTTGCCTGACAACCGTGGGCAGGCTCCCTTGTGCCTAGGTCCCCCTTCAGAAAATCCAGGATTTACACCCATGAGCAGTAAGGTCCCTTCTGGTCCAAGTGTTCTGCCCTACACATGGACTTTACACCCTGATTCATGAGGAGAGAAAACTGGACCAGAGTGGGCCAGCATCCGCCCGACATGCCCCAGCCTGGTGGGATGGGCGTTTCTGCGATTTATCTCCTGCGTCTTGAGCCATACTGGTGAAGATTCACAACCTCACGCAGGCCTCACATGTTTCGAAACATGCTGACTTCCCATCCATGTCTTCCATGGGGGGCAGGGGCATGTGTTTTCCCAAGAGAGGGGTCTTGCCACACTGAACCATAAATGCAAATCAGAGGTTCCAGAATGAACTCTTGCACTTCGCCATTTGACCCTCCATGTTCTTCTCTACATGGAAATGGCAAGCCTTCAGCGTTGCCCAACGGCGTCCCTGGGCCTCGGCTGCCTGTTTGTTCAAGACCCCAAACCAGCTTGTAGAGTCCCCAGTTCATGATTTGGTTCGTCTTGTGATTTTTCAACTTTACGGCGGTGGAGAGAAAGTGATACGAAATCGGTAGAAACCATACTTCAGATTTTGAATGTGGATCTCCCCCCGGACGGGTGATGTGCGTAGGTGCGGTCCTCTCTGCGATGCTGGGTGGGGCAGCTCCAGCCCCCAGGCAGCCACGCCATTGGGAGGGTGGATGACCAACCGTTCCATCATTTTCCACACAGCATTTCATAAATCACATGAGACAGTCAACACCTATCAGATAAGCTTCATGTCAATGATTTAGCCCAACCGTATGCTCACGTGAAGTGTTCTGAGCGCATTCACGGTGGGTGGGCTAGGCTCGGCCGTGGTGTTTGTTCAGTAGCGTGGGGGCATTAAACACATTTTTGACTTATTATATTTTCTACCTAATAAGGGTTGACCAGGATGTCACCCATCACACGTTGAGGAAGATCTGTATTTATTAACCATCTACGAAGTGCTAACATGATGCCCAGCACGCTGACATGCATTAAATTATCTTAAATCCAGTTCGTGATGCCCAGCATTCAGAGCCACAGAAATGAGGTTCTGTTTCAGGATCTGAGAACCTCCTTGGTTTTTGTCTGCCAGGTCTCCGGGGGCCCCAGGGAGGGAAGGCTGGCCTTGGCCGGTCTCAGACGGGGTCGTGCCAGGAACAAGTACCCCTGAGCGAGGCAGTGGGGAGGGGACCGGGGGGGTGGGGCACATGCAGCAGGCCATGGACTGCAGCCAGACCATGTCCTAGAAGAACTGGGAATGGACCAGTGTAGGAAACCAGCAACGCAGAGAGCGAAGCTCTGGCCCACGTGGGGCAAATCAGGCCCCAAGGTGAGGTTGGACAAGGAACCGTAAACATCGGGAAACAGGGTTGACGTGAGGTCTGCTCGCCAAGTGCAGCATCTCACACGGCCATCGCCACCCAAAACCCTGCCTCCCTCCTCACTGAAGCCTGTGCCAGGGACACCGGAGGGCATGGAGGAGACGCGCTCACAATGAGGCCACGTCTGCAGGGAAGAGACCCAGAGCCCTGGCCTTCACCGGAGCCAGGTGCACAGAGCACAGCACAGGGCCACGCGGCAGGGCCACGGAGCAGGGCCACAGCACAGGGCCACGTGGCAGGGCCACGCAGCTGGGCCACGCACTAGCTCCCACGCCACTCTGTCTTCCAACAAGCGTCACGCACAGTTCCTGTGCTCAGGTTTGAGAAGGCGGAGGCCCAGAAATCTACAGAAAAATGAACATCGCACTTTGGTTCAAGTACGTATGAATGTACACCGAGTGGCCTCTGAGTGTGCTCACTCCTGAACCTCTGTACGGACTCTTTCTTACACCCAGCCGGACGGGTCCCCCCGAGCTTCAGCCAGGTCTGCCCTAACACTTTCCAAAGGTACACGGACTCACTGCTGGTGCCCACCAGCCCTCTGAGGCCCGCCCTGCCCAGGGCACACGCTGCTCCCCACCAACGGCTCCCCACGGCCTCCAGGTCTCTGCTCGAGGGTCTCCCTGAAGCAGGGCCCCTCGTCTCTGCAGAAAACAGAACCTGATACCCCCACCGCGGCGTGCTCCATCCCTTCCCTTCTGTGCACCAGCCTACCGTACGGTGTCTGTTCCCCCCACTGAGAGGCTAGCTCAGGAGGCAGATGGTTTTGTGGCTCCATCTCTAAGTGCAGACTGGAGCCAGCAGTCCCCACAACTGTGGGTTCTAATGGACATTGCCTCATGGATGGGGCATGTTTGCCCCATGGAGGGCATGGTTGCCCCATGGAGGGACAACCGCAGGACTGGAAAGTGGGCAGGAACGACATTCTATAGGGAAGCGTGGATGAGGTGTGAGAACGCTGCCAGGGAAGGAACCCGCAGCTGAGCCCTCAGCTGTCCCGGGGGCCCCCATGTGAGTGGGGAGCAGGCAGCTGGTTCTGACCACAGCTGGTCCCCAGTGAGCCTGGGAGCTGGTGTCTGACCCAGCGAGAAGGCGAGAGGCCTCGATCACTCTTCGGATTAGACCACTCGGGGCTGACTTCACGCACCAAGATGCTGGTGCGTGGGACATGCACGGTCCCATGACATTTGTGTTGCAAATTAGCCCTAAGAAGATGGTAAAGGTCCGAACCTCAGGAGGCAATGAGCAGACAGGTGGTGCCACACGAGGGAAAACTCTCTCCCGCAGGATTTCTGCTCGAGGCTGCCACTGCACCCACTGAATCGCCACCCCAGCTCCCACCACGTGCCAAGCTGGCTACTCTGTTCTGGAGGGTCACTGAGCAGTGACAAGAGGTGAGCATGCCCCGCCAGCCACGCCGGGGTGTTAGCTCGGCCACAGCACGCCGGGGGGTATGGCTGACAGCCGCTTAAGATGGCCCCATGCCATCCGCGACTGCTGACCCTGCACCGAGGGGGCCCCCGTCCCCAGGGTCTCGAGGCCTGAGGCCCATCGGTCGCTAGGGTGACAATGAACAGAGCTGGGGATGCACACATCATTTCTGCGTTTGTAAGGCTGACATCCACAGACCTGCGTGTGATCAAATCCTTCACAGGAAACAGCTCAAATGCTCAGCACATTTTCTTTGATATCTGCCCTCCTGCCATTTAGTTCCAAGCGACACAAGAGAATAAAGCCTGAGATCTTGGGGGTGGGGGCTCTGAGTGAATGAGCTGCAGTGTTGTTACTTCTGAAGGATAGCCACAGATGTCATTATGCATCTTGTCTTTGCCGCGAAAAGCAAAACACGTGGCGGAATAACATTTCTTTAACTCTTACGTCCCTCAGTACCCAAGAAGAGCATTTGCTTTGGGGTCGCACTGGGCAAAACTCACACACCGACAAGGGATGGCTTTGGGAACGTCTTTACGGCGGGCCCGCGTGCGTGTTGTCAGATGACAGCACGTGAGTCTTCCCCGGGCCACGTGGGCTCCAGTCATGGGGAAGCTGAGTTACCTCGACCGTCCGCATGGGCCCAGCAGTAGGAGGCGAGGAGAAAGACACCATACTTACAGAAATTTTCCGTTTGTCTTGGATCCTATCATGACAATTTGCTCAGATTCAACCCGTGAGATTTTCCCGTGGAACCAGGGCATTTTCTCGTGGGCCGTGGTGGCGATCAGCTTCTCCAGCTGAGGCTTCTGGCTGATGATGGCCTGCTCCAGAGCCTGACCCTGCCACGAGAAGGGCGCAGAGCAGTACTAAGTAAAAATGAGAAGAAGATGCAGGAATCATTTCTAATCTGTCCCGAGTCCTGACGTGGTCATTCATTCATTCACCATAAAGAAAACTGTAAGCTCCTTATACATGATTTAAGTACCTTTGAGTATATAAGTAACAACGTAGAGTTTAGAGCTTGGCCTTTTGAAGCTGGGCGAGGCTTTAGAAACCATCTGGCACGATCCCTGAGGTCCAGAGACCAGGCCTCCTGCTCCCGTGGATCGCAGCCCTGCACTAAACTGTCAGAACCCGATGCCCCTCTGCCTACAGCTCAGGAGCCCCAGGGTGCGTGCCACAAAGGAGACGAGGCTTTCCCGTCTGCCCACTGAGGCCTCCTCCCAGCGCTCACTCTGCTGCCCGTACCTGTGGATGTGGCCACAGGGCACGGAGGACGTGAACTGTGACAATGTGGAAAACAAAACCGGGAGGGGGCTGACAGCTGGGTGAGGTCCCCTCCCGACCGAGCTTAGCGGGAGAAGCAGAGGTATTCTCTGCAGCTGTAAATGAAGACCCCGTGTTGGGTTATTGGACGTTAAAGAAGGACAAGAAGAAGTAAAAATAAAAATATAATGAGTCCAAACGAGGGGACGTGTGTGTCCCTTCATAGATGACATTCTGGAAAAGGCAACACTGTAGGGACAGAAAGCAGGTGGGGGGGCCCCTGGGGGCTGGGGTGGGGGTAACTTATCTTGACTGCAGTGGGACCTACGTGGTGCTCTGCATTGGTCAATAATCACAAAACTGTACACCTAAAAAGCTTAATTTTACCCTGTATAAACTACACCTCCATAAATCTGATCTGACTTTAAAAAAAGATAAAAAGATGGTCTAAGGCCTATCCAATAATACTAACAACAACTGCTGACCAGGGTACTGCTATCTGTCTGCAAGGGTGAATTCCCGTAGACCCCATTCGAGGAGGGAAAAGCAGTCCCTGTGTAAAATCCTCAAAAAACCTGTTCTGTCACATATCTGTGACAGAACGGGAAACGCAAGAGAGATGTCTGAACACACAGGTCCGCGCAGGAGACCCTCAGCCAGCCCGGTGGCTCCTGACATCAGGGGCTGCTAAGAGTGGCAGGAACTGAGCTGTCCCCCCGCCACCCTGCCCTGGGGCCTTTTCGGATGACAACGTGTCACCGTGTACTCATGAAACCCATGCACCGTCCCCGTGGCCAGCCCAACGGGCTCGGGGCCATCCTGTCCAGAGGCTGGGAACGATGGGCAGAGGGAAGTCCCGAGCGGCATTGAGTGCCCACCACCAGGTAGCAGGCAGGTGAGCGACGGGGTGCGGGAGGGATGTCAGGCAGCCCTCCATCCACGGGCTGCTGCAGCTACATGCGTGCTCACCCAGAACGTTCTGCTGGAGACACCTTAGGAAGCTACAGGATCAAGAGCCCATCAGCTTGAACAGAGCGACGCCCTCGGGGGCATAAAAACACCAGACACCCGGGAGGGCTGTCTAGGGCGCCGCGCGTGAGCGGGGTGACTGGGTGACCCGCATCGCTGGCGGGAGGGCCCCCGGGTGAGGGGAGCTGCGCCCCCCGCAGCCGGGCACCTCTGGCCCGCGCCGCTGAGCGGGGAGACGCGGCCAGCCCGGGACCGGGGCGCACCTGCAGGTTCCAGGTCTGCTTCACGTAGTCCCGGATGAGGCTCTCCTTCAGGTCCTCGAACGGGCCCGTCTTGGGCTGCACCCCGGGCGGCCGGTGGAAGGGCTCCTTGAGGAGGCAGACGAGGCCGTCGGACTCCTGGGTGTGGTAGCGGCACAGCTCGGCCGGGCTGCCGTGCGGCCTGCCACCCGCGATGGCGTAGGTGCCGTTCATCTCGCGCTCGATGGCGTAGTGGTGCGCCTTCCTCCCGTGCGCCACCGACAGCGCGAAGCCGCCCAGGTAATTGCGGCTCTGACGCAGCAGGTACAGCCCGTCGCTCATGCCCCCCTGGACCAGGTAGTCCTCCGCCTCCTCCCGGGTGATGTTGCCGAAGAAGAAGGGCAGGTGGTTGGCGCTTTCGGCCGTGCTCCCCGCCATGCTGGCGTGTCCCCGTCAGTCTTCCTGGCAAGAAAAAAAAGATGGGACATCGGTCAGGCCTGGGGCGGCAAGGACAGTGGCTAAAGCACCGACCCTCCGAAACCCGGGCCGGGTCCCGAACACTCTTGCGCCTGGACGCCGGGTTCTCGTGGGTCTAGTCTGGCAGACCGACACCAGACAGCCCCCAAACGAGCCACGCTCACATACCACGTAAGATGGGGATGGTGCGGGGCGCCTGGGTGGTTCAGTCTGTTGAGCGACTGCCTTCGGCTCAGGTCATGATCCTGGAGTCCCGGGATCGAGTCCCGCATCGGGCTCCCTGCTCAGCGGGGTGTCTGCTTCTCCCTCTAACCCTTCCCCCTCTTGCGCGCTCTCTCTCACTCTCTCTCTCTCTAATAAATAAATTTAAAAAAAATCTATAAAAAGATGGGGATGGTACGCACCACGGCCACGCACCTTCGGGGGGAGGCCCGCAAGCCGCTGCCCTGAGGCTGAAGACGGCTGGCCTTTCAGAGCCCCCAGCCTCAGGCGGTTCCTTCCCTGTGCTTCCCCAGACCACTTCCCAGCGCCCACCACGCACCATCTGCGTGGCAGATATTAAAGAAAGAGTGCAGGGTCCACACGTGATGAGGACATCTGTCACAGAGGAGACGCTTCCGCACCACGCGGACACACACTTTGGGGGGAAGCGCGAAGACAGAGGACGCATCTTTAACTGGGAGAGTGTTTTCTTTTCCCTCAGTTGTGGCAGTAGATGAGAAGGGTGTATGTGCTGCCAATTCCAAAAATATCCAAAGAAGTGTACATTTTAACCAAAAGGGCTTGCCACCAACGGAAAACTACCTAGGTACCTCCATCTGTATACCTAGGGAGAAAAGTGAACGCCCCTTTGTGTCACACTCAAATGCACACGAACACACACACACTCGTGCCTAATAGCTTCTCCATGATACGGATTTTCCTACAAGCAGCGATAAAAGATAAGAACACCTGACTGATGGAGGTAGCGATTTTCTCCAGGCAGAACTGCCAAATCCATCCTCCTGAGTAAGCCCCCCCAAAACCATCAGTTTTTTTTTTTATAAGTTAATGATATAAACAATTTTCTAGCTTCCTCTTTCGCATTCGACGACCAACCGTCAGTTTTTCCCTGTCCAAAGTTCTAATACTTCCTCTCTCGGCCAGGTTTGCTTTGTTCCGTGCCGTCCATAGCTGCACCTAAGTCTGAGGATGCCATTAACAAAAAGACCTCTCTGGGAAGAAGCAGGATTTCTCTTCCGAGTCTTCTTCCTTCTCGGCTAATCCTCCTGGAACACTCGTGCCCCAACTTGGGCCACTGCCCGCCATCAGCTAGGACCCTGAGCACATCTTCCTTGCACCCGGCCGTGTCCCTGCCGTGGAGCTCCCGGGGCCCCCACCACCTGCGTGCATGCCCAGCTTGTCTGCCTGCAGCCCAGCGCTGCCCACTTCCACGCGCGGCGCATGATCCGGGCTCTGTCAAAACGTGGCGCTCCAGGGCCAACAATCTCGGGGGTGCGGATGGTGTGCCCCTCGCCGTACCTGAGGCCGAGACCCCCACGTGCTGCCCGTCGGCCTTCCCCGGCCTGGGGGCCGCCCCAGCCAGGAGCCCGTGGTCCTTGTGTTCTTTCAGGCTTGTTTTCCAAGTGGCTTTGGGGTGTGCTCCTTTCTCTCCATTACTGCCGTCTGGCCTCACACATCATCCCCAGCTGCACACGCTGGCCGGCATCCTGTGCCCTCCTACGCCCCCTCCACCCGCCTGCCCAGGAGCCCCACGGCCCTTCCAGCACGCCCTGTCCCTCCCGGCCTGGCAGCCTCGTCCCTCAACGCACAGTCCACGGGCCACAGCTGTCCTCTTCTGCAGACCCACCTGCAGACCTGTCCCAGCATTAGCCTCTGCTGAAACCCGTGAGTCCTCAAGAACACTACTTTAAATGCGAACAAGTACTTTTTAATTTGGGTAAGTCCTAACAACACGACTATCCTTTCCCAAAATTCACTGGTTTGTGGTTATGTGCATTGGGCCTGGCGCTCCGGCGTGATGGGTGCGTGGAAAGGCATCACGTAAGACTGAACGGGGCCCGCCCCCCAGGCGCGAGCGGGGATGCTCCTGCATGGCCCTGATGGAGCTCAGACTCGTCCCCAGGCAGGTGGCACATGTCAGCTGAGCAGCTCTTTCCTGGGGGGTGACTTGCCACAGGGGACATGGGGCGCATTTGTCCGGTGGTGGTGCTTCTGACCCAGGCTCCAGCAAGAACAATTAGGGCACAAGCTTGGGCTACTTCGTTTGGGGCATGAACACGGTCCGTGATGCCCCGTTCATGCGCCCCCCCAGCACCCACCCGGCCTTCTCCTGGTCTCCAACCTCCTTTGCACCGCACAGGCCCCCTCGTTCCAGCCGGCGTCCCCCCGGGCTCATCACCACACTGCTGTCCTCACCTGCTTTCCGGACACCGGCACTGGCTCACCATGCGCCCCCCGCCGCCCGGCAGTGCCTTCCACGGAGCTGGCTTCCCCGCTGTGCACCTTCCTCCATCACTGTGCCCATCGACTCAGCCCCACCCCCGCCTCCGCCTGCGACTTGTTTTCCGGTCAAATCTGCCTTTTCCTCCAACCCCAGGGAAAGTCTGCAGCTCAGACTGCGTTTAACCCCCACGGATTTTTGTCTATTTTAACATTCCCAGTTACTTTTCTCCACGTGTGAAACCACTTTATTCAAAAGCTCGAAACTGAGAAACCGAGGGGCCCTCTGGATCCCACAGAGCGGACCCCCGGTGCCCCCCGTACCTCGGCCAGCGCGCGCGTGTGCACCCAGCTTTTCAATGAGGTTAGGCTGCAGGATGTTGCGGGGTGAGCTCCTCAAAGCATGGCAGCCTCACTGACCCCTCGGGGGCCTTTTTATGACCCAGGTTCAACGTGCAGTTCGTGACAGAAAAACGTTTTATGACATGAAATAATGTCTTGTGATGCCTGGGGCATCTCCCACTCTGCTGCTTCATCCCCTCCCCTCCCCAGCTCAACTCCACAGGCCACACAATCCCTTCCCACGTCCTACCTTCCCGCGAGTGTGATTCCCATCTGCCCCCCCACCAGCATGCCGGCTTTGGGGCCAACACGGAGATGCCTGTGCTCACCGCCCCTTCTGGGCGCCCAAAACCGCTCCTGGCACGAGGTGGGTGGTCACAAATATTGGCTGATTAATAAAAGCAGATTTCAAAATAATGCGTACAGAGTAATCGAGTTCTGTTTGCAGAAGCTGATACCCACACGCACAGGCAAACCTGCCCACGTCAGGAGTGGGAGGGAGAGCCGGGCTGGAAGGTCCGTGGGTGGCCTTACCCCCCTCTGCTCTGTAAGTGTCCAAACCCCGCACCGTCCCTCTGCTCTCCCGCCGACGTCCTCTGCCCATGCTCTTGCCAACGTCACCCAGTGGCCAAACCCAAGGTCACCCGCCTGCTGTATCTGGCTTGACCTTCGGGAGCACTGGATGGAGCCCAGCGGCCCTGCCTCAGCGGGTCAGTCTCTCTTCTTTGCCGACCCCTCTTCCATGGCTCCTTCCTTCACTTACTCTGCAAGCTGGTGCTGGGGCTGGGGCTCCAGCCTCACCTTCTTCCTGCACACGGCCCCCAATACCGGCAATGCCCACCGATCCCACACCCACCTGTGCCGAGCTCCTGACCTGAACGCTGCTCACCTGACGTTTCCACCTGAATGTCCAACAAGCAACTCAACTTCACGTGCGTGAAGGGAGCTTCGGCTGCTCAGACAGCTCGTCCCTCAGCCTGTCCTAACTGGGGGTAGGACCCCGGCCCTAGGCAGCTGCTGGGGACGAGACCCTGCAGTTTGCAGACCCCTCCCTGTCACAGCGCAACCCATGGAGTCAGGAGACGGCGTGCTCGCTCCCGGGAACGTCTGAGCTCCGTGCAGGAGGCTGGATCAGGTGCTCTCCGGGGAGCTCTCATCAGTTTTCCTCCAAGTACATCCCAAAGCCATGGCTTCTCACCATCTGCCCCAACGCCACCCTGGTGAAAGCATGTCGCTGGGTCTGGCCCAGTTCTCCCCACCACCTGCCCTCCTCACGGTCTGCTCCCTACATGGTGGGCAGGGTGATGTTGGCGAGCCATCTCCCTGTCCCCGCCACATCCCAAACCCTACCTGGTCTGGCCTGAGCCGCTCCTCATCTTGCCCACTTATACCTGTGCTCACCGCGTCCAGCCACCCCGCCCTCCTCCGGCTGGCTGGTCTTCTCCGGCCTGTGGTCTCCGCTCCTCCACCTCCTCCGAGAGGCATGAGCTGACGACATGCCCCCACTCATCTTTAGCTTCTGAAAGGGTTTATTTCCCTCATCACCTTCACCACGAGCCAGGTCTTCCCACCCTAAAGCGGGACCTCCAAAGTCTGGGAGTGTTGACGTGCACCCCCAGCGCCCTGGGGCTTCCCAGTGCTCTCACATGCCTGTTGGATGGAAACATGCTCATCTCTCCTTTTTAGAGTCTCTGCGGTGAATGCAGGCTGCTTTGGCAATACGTTGACAGCCCAGCATCAGAGAACCTGGAGGACGGGTCCAACCTCCTCCTGGCTCACTGCTCCCTGAGGGCACCCACTCCCGCGGGGGACGGACCTGGTTGCCTGACTCCCTGCCTCTCCTCTTCCAGCCTGCCCCCCCCCCCCCCCCCGCCGCCCTCCGCTTGCAGAATACTTCTGCTTCCCCAGGCGATCTTCGCATGCTTGCTCACAGCCCTGCTCCTGGGGCAGGGTCCTCCCTCACTTGACATTACTTATAGGACGTTCACCATCCTGGGCACTTTGCCTACATGGTTCCATTTCACCCAGGACCCTCTTCAAAGTGTGGCCAGCTTTGATGTCACCACCACGGGGACCTAAACAAGCAGGGCACAGGCCACTCCTGAGTCTGCGCTTGGTGTCCCCCAGGTGGGTGACCTCAGCACCCCAGGATTGACGTTGGCCTTCTAGCTAATGAATGCTGCCCTTTCCACAGTGGCCAA